CCCCTCCCCCTGCTACCTCCCCTCCCCTCCCTTCCCCCTCCCTTCCTCCTTCCTGATTGGTATTGCTGCTTGGCTCAGGTGGGGGTTCCCGGTCAAACCGCCTTTCCTTTGTACCAGTAAAGCCGGGTTTGCACCTGTGCTTTGCCCATGCCTGGAGTTCCCACTAGGCCTTGCAGCAGCTGTAGTGGGAGTAGACACTGTCTTAAGTTGAGGGACATGCAGCAGTGCTGACCCATCTGGGGCTCGGACCTCTTGGGAAGGGCTGGAGTGACCCCAGCGAGTCTGCATGCCCTGCGGCTGTGGCCGCTCCCTTCCTGGCACAGTTTCCCTCCAAGTTTGTGCCCAGGCCTGTCGAGGCCAGTGCCAGGGTGGAGGGGAGACTCTTGTGGCTGATACAGCTGGGAACTTGCTGGGCTGGGGCCGCCTCTTGTCTCATCAGCCATTTGTCCACCCATTGCCGCTGCCCCAGCTGTGCATGGACATGAGAGGAAGCCCGTGCTTGGGGCCCCGCTGGGTACCGGTCCCCACCACGTACAATCCTTTGGCGGGCCTGGATGAACCACCAGGACCCTTCCAGCAAGGACATGTTGCTCCAGACATTGGCGTGCTGGTGGCAGGTGTGCTTCTGTGCTCAGCCCCTGCAGGGCCTGCCTCAGCCTCAGAGAAGGCCCTCACCCACGGCCAAGCCCCTTTCCCCACCCAGGGAACCCTGGCGTTCAAATACCAACGGCCCAGCCCTCCTGGCCTTGTTTAGGGCAACTCTGAGGGGCTCTCTGCCTCAGGCCTCCCACCACCACACGTCCTACCTCCAAAGGGTTGATCAGTGGAACTCTCAGGCCCCCCTTGCAGCTTGACTTCTGGCAGTTCTGCAGCCTTCTCCCTTCCCCAGTGGTCGGTTCCACTAATAAACACCCCTGCACCCTCTGTTCCAGCTTGGGGTTGGCTTCCCTGGGGGCCCCAACTGCTGCAACTCCCAAGAGCCTCTGCCACTCACACAGCCACTCTGCTTGCTAGACTTGGTGACAGGTAATAAGACACCCAGCTCAGACTGACCTTTTTGAAGATAAGTGGTGCAGGTCATATCTACTCTGGGGGAGGCTGGGCTGCACCAAGCACCCAGTGCCGACTTCTCTGCTCTGTCCTCCAGCACCTCCTTGGGTCCCAGGGTCACTGCCAGCATCTGCTGTGGCTGGGGTTCCTTTTCACATCTTGGTGGGAATAAAAGTGTCCCAGAATTTTCAGCCAATCTTGAGGTTCACTGTGACTGGATTGACAACCTCACATGCCCACCCTGAGTCAGCCCAAGAGGGGAGTCAGGGGCATGCGTTCTGTCCCCTGAGCAGGGCAAGGGATGCAGGGAACAGTGACTCAGGCTAAGGCCTGCCCCAGGGACCATGGGTCTCCAGACAGAGCAACAGCCAACTCTTGGCTTGAACTCATGCTATGTTTTGTGGATATCAGTTCGTTAAGTCCTCCTAAGAACAGCCCTATCAGGTATGTACTGTTAGCATTTCCACTTTCTGGGCGGAGGAACCAAAGCAGGAAGAGATACGTGGTTTTCCCCAAGCCACCGGGCTGGTAAGCTGCAGAGGCAGTTCCTAGTCCCTGTGCTGCCGGGAGCTCACGAGCGGGAGAGCTAGGCTGGTGTGTGGCAGTCACGGTGCAAGGAGCAGGCAAGCCTGCAGTTGCTTACTGTGAACGGCCAGGGAAAAGGCCAGCTGGAGAAAGGCTATTCCTCCCTACTCCATTTACAAATTTACAAATGGTACCATGGAGGGTCAGGTGACCCCAGAGGGTATAGGGAGTCTCTGACAAGAGATTCCTGCAATTCTATGGGCCAGGGGGCCAGGGTGGGAGTGGAGGAGCTGGAGAGGGGGAAGCCCTCCTCCATTCTGTCTCGGCCCCATGAAGGGATGCAAAGGCTCTTCTATGCAGAAAGGCTGGGCTGGGAATGCATGTCATACGGGGACCCAGGGGCTGAGGCCTTAGCTACAGTGCCCCTGGCTGTGCCTCCCAGGCTGGTGTGTGGAGGGCAGCTTTCCCTGGGAGGCCTGCCAGGGAATGTAGGCCTGTGGCTGGCCTGGAAAATCATGCATAGGTTTTTAGCCAGAAGCTGGACTCCTTACAGTGAAGTAACAAGCGAGTTCTGAGACAAATGAGCAAGATCCTGACCTGAAGCTGAGCATGCAGATGCCCTCTGGCACAGCCCGCGTGCCTCCAGCAGCAGCAGAGTCACCCCACAGCCGCAAGCTACACCCGGCGCTGCCCCACCGGCTCAGAAGCCAGGAGTGTGCCCCCATGCAGGTGCATGGAAACACACGGGCTCTGTTCCAGTATCCCGGCTTTGCATTCAGACTCGCTAGTTACTGGTGTAGAGCCCACATAGCTGGCAGTACTGTTTCTAGAAGGTGCATAACCCAGTAACATTGATGGCATCGATGGACCGGAGCCTTGGCAGCTGGGTTTTGAGCGTCCCAGACCTGTGCCAGGTCTAAGTGAGCCTTGGCAGGGCTGAGGCACCGGATGACATTTTCATGGACTTGGCCATTGTGACTGAATCCTCCTGCCATTGTCAGGTGCCTGGGAAGGCAGGGGTGGGGGTGGGTGTTGGGGACAGGGAGATGCTTCTGGGTCAGGGTATGGACTGTAGGATCTGGGGTGATTTGTGGGGAGGGCCAGGACCCTACCATTTCAGGGTACTGCTCATGGCTGTGGGTTAAAGTCATCCTGACCCTAATCACTCCACACCATGTGGTCAGCTCAGCTGCTTACAGTAACCTTCATCTGAGACAATTTATGATTATTAGTTATGAGTTGACCGTCCTTTGGGAAGTTAGAGGACACTGCCTTGGGCAACTGGATTCACAGGATCCCAGATTGGCTCAGAGGGGCCTCCCTGGGCAATGAAAGGGCCCTGCCTTACTGTATGTCCCTGGTCGGTCCATCGTCCTTTTATTGGAGTAAGGAGGGCGTATGTGAGAAGGAGGGCATATGGGGGTGAAGGGGCGATCAGCACTTGGTGAGCTCCACGGCAGAAGCAGGCAACGGACTCCCCAGAGCAAAGCTAGATGCCCCTACGGTGGAGAACTCGGCAAACAGGATTGTGGGCAGGCATGAGCCGGCATCATGTGGACGACCAGGCATTCTGTACTGTTAGCAGGGGCTGGGGGAAAAGCGACTGCTGACCTTTGGCGTCCCGCTGGCCAGGTAAGAGCAAGTTCCACTGAATCCCCTATTTTAAAGCTCAACTCTGGGTATCCTGCGAAGTGCGCTGTGAGCCCCAATATGAACTTCCTGTGTTAGAAAACCAGTAAGAATTGAGTGTTGAGAAAGTCCTGAACCTCGGGTCCCCAACAGCACGGGGTGTCCGCCCTCCTCAAGCCTGTGTGGCCACCACGCGTGAGTACCGGGTGTTGCCAGGAGGTGGCGGTAAAAGGCCAAAAATAACGTCCGCAGCTTTTAGGGCCGGTAGGGGAACCGCCCGCCTGGCACCCGGCCGACCGCTCTGGCAATTATTTCGGAGACCGCGGCTGGAGATGTTCTTTTGGCCGTTGGCTTGGCGAGTGGGACTTCCTTTGTGCGCCCCTGGCGGCGGCCTGCTCCCCGCCCGCAGGCACCGGCCTCTCGCCTCGTTCAGAGTCGCGTTCCTAGCCGCAGCGGCCCGCCCGTCTGCCCCCCGCCCAGCGGTTCCTGCGGGTCTGCGGCGGGTCTCAGGCTTTCGGTGCTGTTTGCAGCGTGTGGGAGAGGCGGTCTCATTACGCGCTCTTAGTTTAAGTTTCTTTTCTCAGCGAGATCTTGTCACCTACGGCATCACTTTCCATCAAGTCACTCGGTTTTATTTCCTTATAGATACTGCACGTTTCTTTCTTTCTCGTTTATGTCTGAGTCCCTCCACCATAGTGCGCATTTCCTAAGGGCGGGCTATTTCCTGCAGCCCCTAGCGTAGGGAGCAGTTCCTAATACATAGTCGCTACTCACCCACTTACCCATTCCTCTGGCTGGGTGAACAGGGTCTACTTCTTGTAAAGGGGGTTTCGGCCGTGACGCGTGCACCCCTCACCTGAAGGAAACGATCCAGGCGGCAAAATGGAGTGTCTGGCACATGCACTGCGTGATGAGGCTCAAATTCCGTGATGAATGCGATCATTCCCGCAAGGTCAGGGCCGCTCAGCAATGGGAAATGAATGCAGCTCCTGAATGTTTCCATTTGCTGCGTTGGTAAGCCCAGCTTCGTGAGGTGAGGGGTGTCAGCTCTCCCAAGATCTGAGCAGTTCTCACAACTCTCCAATGTCTTAAGGTTCAGATTATTCTGATGGTCTGTCACCCTAGTAATAACAATGGCCTTATTAACTAGGGCAATCAGGCTTGGCCTCACGGGTGTGCCTCATAGGTCCCCAAATCCAGAAAGAATTCTCTGTTTTATATTTTACTGTTAACTGTCACGAAATTATTATTTTTAAAGATTTTACTTATTTATGCATATAAGAACTAGGGTACAGGCCAGAGGTGGGCATGAGAGGATTCACCAGAGACAGAGTGGGGAGCAAAACAGGTGGAGCTACTGAAATATACTGCTGAGGAAGCAGTGGGTGAGACAGGAAAGTCTGCTGTGCCATCTGGGTCAGCTCCCTGGCTGGGGATCGAACTCATGCTGCAGTGTCACAAAATTCTTAATAAGTTCAGAACAAGGACCACGTTTTCATTTTGAACTGGTGTTTTGTATATTGTCCTGACTGGAATCCAGAAAATTGAGTCTCATATTCTCTAAATCCCCTAGCTTTTCGATTTGCAGAGGCAGGGTAAAGCATTCTTCCTCGGTTTATGTCACCAGACTGCCTTTCTGCTGTGTGGCCAATGACAGGGAGTGTCCGAATTCACATCCTCCGGACACGCCACGTGATGCTAAGGGTGCAATGTGGGAAATGGCACGTCTTTCACTTCTTATGTTGTTCCACGGATAAAAGATGCTTCAGGAGGTGAGCTTGAACAACTGCCAGAACATTCTCTTCTGGTTTGCATTGCTCTAGTGAACTGTTTTTTCATGTTCATGCCAGGGTTTAAAAATTATTTACTGTTGTGCCCAAGGAGTATGGAGGCTAAAATTAGGCCCCCATATTTTATCTAAAAATATCAAGAACACTGTGTTCACAGGTCACAAGTTGGATGCTTCTCAAAGTGACGCTCCGCCTTAGTAAAAATGGCACCAAGGGTAGGGACTGCAGGCCAGGTGGGGGCAGTTTTCCCCATCTGAAAGGTACAGGGGAGGGCTCACGGCCATCTTACTCTCCTTCACAGGGTTGTTGTGACCATCATGGCATCTTCAAGAAATTAAAAAATGTAAATATGTCGGCATCTCTAAATTATGCAAGATTGGGGCCTCCCTGGTCACACAGGGTTTAAAGTCTCCGCACTGTCAAGCTCTCAGCAGCCACTGCAGCACAAGTATGATCCCTGGCCAGGGAAGTGGACTGACCCACATGGCGCAGCAGACCTCTTCTGTCTTGCCCACTGCTCCCCTCAGCAGTGTATTTCAGTACATCTGCCTGTGCTGCTCCCCACTCTGTCTCTGGTGAATCCATTCCCCCCCGCGCCCCGCATCTCTGACCTGTACCTCAGTTCTTGTATGCATCAATAAATTAAAAAAAAAATAAGTAAATTAAGCAAGATTTTTGTCGAGGACTCTGGTCAAAGGTGGCGCCCTCGCTAGCAGAGGGAAGGCCCCTTGTGGGCAGTGCTGGACCTCCTAACTCCCTTTGACTTAAAAGTAAAACATATTGTCCAGCAGTAAAATATCTAAGTGGGTAGGTCACTGAATACCAAAGACACAAAGTCTTCATTTAATAGCAGACTCAAATACCCCAACATCTTCTAATGAAAAATTTCAAATGAAAAGCAGAGTCTCCACCCCAGAGACTCTGCTCAGCAACCTCTGACACCTCCCTGAGCACATTATCCATCCATCCATGCCTCACTCAGCTCCCACCCATCTGTCTTATTTTCACACTATTATTTTTTTTATTAAATATATATATTTTTGTTTTTTAAAGTGTAAGAATCACCCAACATAAAAGGTACCATCTGAACCATTTCTAAAAGTATAGTTTAGGTGTTGTAGGTATATCACATTGTGTCATCTCTAGAACTTCAACTTGCAAAACTGAAACACTATACCCATGAAATCATGATTTTCCATTTCCCTGACTCCAAGCCCCTCGCCACAAGCTCCTCACTGCCACTGTTCTTACTATTTCTATGAAAATAGTCTTAATTAAAGGTTTCTTTAGAAAGGTATGGAATAAAAAACAGTTAACATCTATAGGGTCCCAGCATATATTATTATAAAATGGGATCAACTATATATAAATTTTTCTTTGAATTAATAACACAATTAGAGTCTTTCCAAACTATGAAGAAAAGCTCTAAGCTTATTTTTGAGGGCTGTATATTATTCTGTGTTATTAATCTATCTACCTTATCTAACAAATCCCTCATTTCTGGACATGTAGGTAGTTTTTACTACCTACATTTTTCACTATTTTAAACTATGATGTTAGAATTAAACTTTTCAGAAATTATTTTGAAAATATGGATTCTAGTCGGTTCCTCAAAATATATTCATTTCTAAAAGTAGGGTCTCTGACTTAAAGAACATAAATATTTAAGATTTTTGAAAAGTAGAGCTAAATGTTGGTGACAAGACTTGTGTTTGTTTATTCCTTGTCAAAGTTGGATTTGCAAATCTTTTGACTTTGACAATCTGATAAATTAAAAAAAGATCTCATTGTAATATAATTTGCATTTATTTGATTGCAAGAAGACAGCTCTCGCTCCCATTTGTTCATTTTCGCTTTAGTTTCCTTTGCTCTTGTCATTGCACTGAATAACTTTGTGTCCATAATTTTTTATTCTTTTGAATAAAAAAGGGATACATTACAAGGGATAGATTCCCAGAAATAATGCTAACTTGATCAATCAAATAGTAATTCTCTTTCTCTGTACTTGTTTCCAGTTGGCTTTCCAATAAGATCGTGTTGACTTTATCATATGGGTGTGACTTTCAGTTCACCAGCCTCGTTGAGGTCTTGTTTCCAGAGTATTGATAATATTGGATCTATGCATTTTTCTCATTTTGTTACATACATGAATAAATGAATGCACATATTCCTTGGATGAATTCATGTGGCAGTTGTTTCTATAGGGTAAAAACAGACTCCAAATTATTTTGTAAGTGATGCAGAATAGAAACTTTGAGGTGGGTCAGAATTTGAAGCTCTAAATGGAGAAAGCCCAACGATTTTTTAGGATGTGATATAATTTGGTTTTTATTTTATTTTTGCATAAAAGAACTGGGGTGAAGGCCAGAGGCACAAGGGGTGAGAGGATTCACCAGAGACAGATTACAGAGCGGAACAGGCAGATCTACTGAAATACACAGCTGAGGGGAGCAGCGGAGTAATAGGAGAAATCTGCTGGGCCATGTGGAACTCAGGCCATAGCGGTGATTAGCCCCTATGTCTATGGGCCGGTCGCTGAAGGAAGTGTTATTTTGATGGTTGTAGGTGACTTGGATGGGGCAGGTGACTTAGAAGGGACAGGGGACTTGGGTGGAGCAGGTGACTTGGAAGGGGCAGGTGAGTTGGGTGGGACAGGTGACTTGGAAGGGGCAGGTGACTTGGGTGGGGCAGGTGACTTGGAAGGGGCAGG